TCATGATTGTGCTCGATCCATATCTCGCAAGTCTCAGAACCGTGTTTTCTTTTCGTCTTTGTAATAAGATTTCCATTTCCGTTTCGATAAGAACTTGATGGGAATCGCTGCCTCCTCTCGCCTCTGTCCGCGCGCTTCTAATATTCGACTGGCGGGGCAGAATATCCATTCGATAAGTTCCGTTTTCACGCTTTCATTGTCCTTTATCCCGGGCTCCCTCGGACGACACGTGGAGGCTCATCCGCAAGCAGAGGATGGTTCTATGGAAGACCCCCTTATTCGAGAATAACACGATTCCCCCCTCTGGCGGGTCCGACTGAACTTATCCTGATTTGATTTCTATACATATACAGGAATGAGGGTGGCACGGATTCCGCCTCGTCTTCAATTGTTGCAAGAACGTAATGTCCGTCTGCACCAGAATGACGTCAGCGGATCACTGCGCGAGAGCTTCCTTCCTTTTTTTGTGGAGGAGTGGAGCAGCTCCCAGTTGAATGGTGAGCAGACTCCTCGGAATCCCGGCATTCGGCGCCCAGATTTCCTCCAAGTCTGACAGGTACCATGATTCGCCCGCTGAGTGGATTCCCAACTCGTCTCGAGTCATTGATGCTCGGAGAGGGCAAGCGATGGATCGGAAGAAAAAAATGGAAGGAAGAAATGAAGGCGTAAAACCGCGAACATGATCCGGGGCATGCGAGTCCTGATTGGTCGATGCGGATCGTATCCGGACAGGAAGGCGAGCCGAGGAATGCGGAAACGAATCATCTTCCGCGATTCCCACGACTAATCCGGACCCGTTCTGCTCATCAGGATGAAACAATGATATTGTTTTTTTCCTACAGGTGCCTCGGGACCGGATAATCTCGACCCCTGGATCCCGAGCAGGCTCAGCCAGCACGTGATATCAGCTTCGATGCGAGCCGCGAGACTATAGGAGTTGGACGGACGGATTGTACAGAGATTGGGTCCACCCTCGAATAACGGTTCGCCTCGTATTAGCCCAAGTTTGTCTTGGAGCAAAGAAAAATGGAAGGGGTATCCATTTTCACGAATTATACTATTAAATGTATTTACAAAATGGCACGTCTCCCATTTGAATCTCTCAGAAGGCATTCCTAGATTGAACAAGGCCCGAGTCGATTCGAAAGAGGGTCGCAGTCTCTACGGCACCGATAGCTCTCCGACCGTTTTTCGCAGCCCTGATCTCGTTTGCTGCCGCTCGGGATTAGGTATACCGACATCACGAGATCTATTACCTACATTCCGTCGAAGCTCGATTTTGAGAGAGTTTGATTGAGATGATGCATGCCGCCTGACCAAGGTGACGAGCGGAGGTTTCGAATATCGGTTGTCGGGTGAGCTCAAGCCATAACTATACATCTATGGAAGAATTCCGGCGGTACTTCCCGCTCGCTCTTGGAATCGGCGCTACCGGACGGGTAAACTCATTGAGATGAAGAAAACGCGTAGATTGTAGATTACCTTCTGCGCGGCAATCTGTATGCCTTGGACGGTATGTATGGTAGAAGTCGAAGCGAAATCGAATGCATGTGGAGCTTTTCATCACATCGAAGATGAAGCCCCGGACTTCGCTATGATTGATGCCGCCCCACGGGGTATCCACGCGTACCCCGCACGGAGCGCTTCCGTTCTCGTCGATCGAACTTGTCTCGGGCAATGGATTTCGGCGGAGTAAGTATGTAATACATTCCCCGCGGGGGGATACTCAGGGATGAACTTTCGGCCGGAGCAGGTCATTGATCCCGGCACTAAGCCCGGATTTCGTGCAGCTCGAGAGTTTCTCCGTAGACCTTCCGGGGACGATCAGAAATGGCTTGACTACAACTCGACCGGGATCTGCGGCAAGAGCGAAATTCCCAGTCCCGGCCGTCCTGCTGACGGAGACCGAAACGGAACAGTGCCGGAGATATCTGATAGGGAGAGCAAGGTCGTTGTTTTTGAGATTTATCACCAATGGCTCAAAAAGAGGAATTATTTGAAGAGCGAGAGCGGCGAACTCCTGATGACCGCTATCGAAGGTGTTGGAATAAGAGCATTGACGAGATCCGCTCAGTTTTTTCATGTCATCCACCGGGCTCAAAGGCGATTTTCGCATTCGCGAACGACAATTATGAGGAAAAAGAATAGTGGAAGGCAGCAGAAGAGAGTAGGCCGACATGAAAAAGCTAAACAGAGTGATCGTTCTAGTTGAGCCTGCGATCGAGAAAGCAAACGAACCAGCACCAGGAGGGTCGTACCTTGAAAAAAAATCATAATCACGAATATCGATTCACTGATCTCTCTCGGATCTGCGAGTTGGATGTCATCATCACACTCTGAATTCGGCTCGAATGATGCACTGAACATGATTGGATCTCGCGATTCGGAGGCGGATCGTGGAAAGCTCATCAAATCCTGCGCGCCTGTTTCGATTTGACAGACTCATTTTCAATACGATAACATGCATGATAATGACTTCCTATGAAACTGTCGAGTTACGCCTCCCCGTTGGTATCCATTACGGCGGGGAAAGCATCAAGAATTTGATTCATCCATTCTCATGGGACCGGTGCTCGATGAAAACCCTTTTCCGGCAAGAAACATAGGGCTCTCTTCTTTTTCCGAACGCCTGAATCGGGCTTGAGCTCTCTGTACACCGCCGAGCTTGCCGTCCGCAAACCTCGGCCGGCTGGAACGGTTGACGTGGGGGTCGACAGCTAAATCCATTCTCGGACACAGCTTCCAATGGAACGAGCCCGCTTTTGACCCTCTGAGGAGCATTTTGCGGAAACGCACTTGGAGTCGCGCACTGACTATTGGCGTTGGATTGGCGTGCTCTGCATCCGAGCTGTGTACGATCGGCGTGCATCTCCTCACACTCCGGATAATCACCTCGTATCGCTAGTCGATGCGAAAGTTTGTTTGTCCGCGTCTCTTCTGAGTACTCAAAGCATCGCATTAGGAAAATCCTGTCTGGGGCCAATCGTACACTGCACATGAATCGAGACTGAGGCTGACTTGCTCCTGCGGAAAACGGAATATTCCTAATAGACTGAGTCACGCGATCATTCACACGAGACAGAGAGATTACACTGCAACATGGGATCGAAAACGGGATGTTTGCGAAGTGCAGCAAACTATTAGCGATCCATTCGGCTAATGATGAAACATGCGAGCTCTAGCATTATCCACACCGTCGTCTTTTGTGTCGCTCGCAAGTTTTGGCGAGGAAAAATAACCGAACCTGGCGGGGGAAAGTCCTGGCATTATCATGCACAATATTTAAGTCGGGCTTTCTGACGCTGCACAGCCCCGCCTCGTGACGCGATATGACCCGTAGAACCGAAAGCTTGTCTGAATTCTATCCTGTATTATCCCGCCTAAACGAGACTTGACTTCTATGACAAAATAGGTACCGGGAATATTCGAATAGACGTCCAGTCTCCACTGAGCGGGCACCCTCGATGGTGTTAATACCGGTAACGAGTCGCGAAAAGCCGAAAATTCCTCTCGCCGCTCGTCTTTGAGAATATTAATCAATGGGCAAGTTACGGATCGTCGGAATATAGACGGGGATGCCCTTCAAGTCGAACCTTAAGGGTACGTTGTGAGAAGAGCCGGTCCTCCTGGTCAGAAGTTGGTCGATATTCCCCTCGCGACACTGCTCGCTCCTCATTATCGCGGCGGATAGGGCTCCTTCATTAAATCTCGGTCATAATCACACTGTGATACGAGCTCACGGACAGCTTAAGTCTGTCGAAAATGCCTTTCAGGCGTCGATTGAGTCACGTCTCCATGCCGTTCGCACCCGCTGAGCTCCAGAGTTTCTCTGAACTCAGCGATCGACGGAAATATTCCCATGAGGCCCAGGGAGAGACTTGAGGTCAGAACTACGACTGGGCAACCCCCCGGTGGATTGCCCCATCTGCAGAGCACCCAAGAGTATTGATATGACTCGGGTCGCCGTCATCGCGGCGATTTCCGATTCCATGATGATTAGTGTCTTACATACTCCCTCTTCTCTGTTCGTCCGTGGAGCGCTCTCCGCTGCCCTCTCCGATTTCCAATGCATACGTATACCTGCAAGCATCTGTGACGTCGTTGGAGCGGCATTGTGCCGTCGACGAATGTACTATGATCAGAACTTTTGTTTCCTATCGGTGGTCGCCAGCAACAGATCGACGCGGCGATCAAATCAGGCTTGTCAGCATGAAAGCTGTAAAATTTATGATCTGAAGGCTTTCTTCATTCTTTTCGATTTTCCATTCCACGCCAGCGCGAAATCATAGCAATGATGTCATCGGGAGCTCCAAGAACTCTCACGTTTCGCAATCAAGAGCCTCAGCCACAATGCACGAGCGATGACTTGTACAAATGGGGCGCACATCTTCGACGAATATACTATGTATATCGACGACCTTGTCGCTCCCCAATCCTATGACCCGCTCAATCACTGGCTCGCGAGGTCAGCACGATTCCTGAGCAGAGATCGGAGAGAGCTATTTGTGAGCGATCGATGCAGTAGACTGATAGCGTACTGTAGCGGTGTAGATGTCTTGACCATCTCGTCGCCATCGGCATCATCCGTCTTTGAGCGGCTGTGGTTAGATTTCTTTCCATCGAGGAAATCCCTTCATTTTCCGGTTTCCCACAAGTGACTCTATCGGAATCGACTTCGCGGCTGTTTATGATGCCGTAACGTTTTTCCTCCTTGCTGCGATATCCCAATGAGGCTTTCGGGCCGAGAGGATCGATGCCCCCAATCGATTCGGCAGATCCGAGCCCCGAAACACCGCTGAGGATCTTCTCGATCATTTTGACAGAATAATCAGGAACTTCAGATACGAAACTCCCAATGCCAACCTCGAGTACCCGTATGATTATCGTGGAGGTAGTGAATTATGGGTAAAAATTTAATCATATATAAAATATAGATTCTCCGGAGGTACATGGAAAATTTTTCTGCGCTTCACCTTTATAATCAAAACCGCTCGACTCGCGTGAATATTTTTATTTCACCTCCGTTCCTTGCCGGCTTCGTCCTTGATCCTCATTCTCAACGACGTGTGATGTATGCTCAACGGGGGAATACTGTCATGTGAGCGATAATAGGAAAAAGTTTTCGTAAAGAACAATCAGGTACATACTACGAAATCCACATCGGACCGCTGCGTGGCACAAAGTCAGCCTTGAGAATTCGCGTCGTCGCTTGCTAGAAGCCATCGATGTCGACAGCCTCACTTCAGCCGCAGCTGAACCCTGACCCTGCGTCTTCGGACGAAATAAAGAATCAATTGGAGGAGCAGCGGCCATCCCAAAATCGCGGCCATAACATGCGGCTGTATCCCCCCGAAGAAACTCCACCGTCCCGAGCGCTGTTCGTGGAGGGTCCGTTCCAAGTTATCCAGACGCCTGACAACCTCGTCCATCGTATACTGCAGTCGCACGACGGCGTACGATAGATTATCCACCGGCTGGACGTAACCTACAGGATGATTGGGATTACGACCTCCTCCCGACGCTCGCGAAGCGGCCCCATGAGCACAGAATTCCCCCGGCCACGGGCCTCGGTTTGAATGTGAAGCTTGATCTCTGCCCGACGACACGTAATATCCAGAGGGGGGCGGCGGCCCTGCTTCTCTTGGATCGCCACCTCCAGCTTTGATGATGTGGCTGTCGTCGCGTCCGGCCGCGCCGACAGCATTGTTCCTCGAGTTTTTGTAGATCACAGATCGGCTGTTTACAATGTCCGCTTGTTCTGGGCTGTTGCGTTCGGCCTCGATATTATTAAACGTGTCCGAATACTCTTCGTCGGATTCGTGACCGTCGATCTTCTCGATATCGTCATCCGAAGGACTTCCCCGATTGTTGTCTCGGAATTCGGCCGGAACATTATCGTAGTTGATGGAGTTATCGCTTTCGAACAATGGCTTGAAGAGGCCAATGTGTTTGGGTTCGGCATACGACAGCGCTTCCTGAACTTCGGCAGGAGTCGCGTTCGCTTGCAGTTGCTTGATGGTGTCCACGAATTCCGAGACGTATTGCTGCATGGCGGTTTCTTTCTCCATTGCACCGAGCTTTTGCCATGCATCGTATTTAGCCCGACCCACGATGTCCCAGAAAGCGGGTCTCGCTCCTTGACAGGGACCTGTCGTCGCCTGCTTGTAGTACGAGTAGAACGTCAGTTGCATCGAGTACGGGGGCTGGAAGCTGCCGTTTTTCGGGAGACTCCGTATAATCTCCACGGCAGCTTTGAAACGGTCATTCACACTCATTTTGGTCGAAGGGATGCACAGAATGTATCCGGAACTTCACTTTGACTCCGGAGACGTGAGCAACAGTAGTGTCCTTCGCCACGAGGAAAATCCCTGAATTGTGGAAGTGATGGAATTCTGAGCGGCCGCTCGTTTCCGACGGAGCCCAGCCGTCGGTTTATCCGACTCGCTGACAGCGGGGGACAGGTCGGGGATTCAGGATCCGTGGGGTGAACTGCGATCACTCAGGTTGCGCTGGTTCAGAGACCGAGAGAACAGGTTCACTTGTCTCCGTGAGCGAGCCGGTCCGTAGTTTCACAACGTTTTAAACGAAGTCCACATCATCAGCTGATGGAATTGTTTGGATTTAAGATCACTCGTCCACACTGTCCGCTAGGTGCACTGACAAAGGAGGAAGCAGCTGGCGAAGTAGTCAGGCCACCCGCTGCTACGAGGCAAGCAACGCACAAATAGCCGTCGCAGCGATAAGCTCACGCAGAACCGATGTTTTAGAAGAGACTGTTTTGATCGTCTTCGTTGTTACTCGCTAGAACGCCATTTTGTCTCACCGTCGAGCCAGGGAGAGGGGGATGCCACGAAATCTGGGACGGCTGTTGCCGGGGAGCGTGTTTTGGTGCGTGAGCGAGCAGCCGCGAAACCCGCAGCGCCAAGCTGAAGACGACGCGACGCTCACGGCCGCAGCTGATCTGCGGCTGATGGTCGATGCGACTGGTATTCGAAAGGGCGTCGACCCGCTGCTTGCTCTCGCAGCTGTTTACACCCGAAACCTGAGCTATGCCTCATTCCTTCACGAGATTCTCTTCGGACATCGTCGGCGTCGGTTCTACGAAATCTCACAGAATTCTTCTGTGCTCTGGATCGCGACGAACATTTTACACGAAAGAGAGGATTGACATCAGAGGCGGCACGACCACTTCTTCATTAGTGTCCGCTAATTCGACGGAGACTGCGCATGAGAGAGCGATTCATCAAAACCCCTCTTCTTCTTCTTATGACCCAATGAGCTGATGTATCTCCCGCGAGCATTCCGAAATTCTCTTCATGGGTGCACAATGCAAGCAGGCCCACTGAGATTCCATCAGTTTAGTCACGTCTAACCATCGCTATGATTCGGAGGCAGATCAAAGAGCGTAAGGTTCGGGAAGTGAAATTTTCCGCCAACTCCACAAATCCAGGATGCTTTCGTCGAAGTTCCGGGATCATTTATGACTCCTTCCCCCTCTGAGCGTGATTCTAACGACGGCAAACGCCAGCGCCGCGGTATCTGATGGAGTCCCGATTCGCTTTTTGGAGACATTTCATGTACCTACCTACCCAATGAGTCCCGCCAATGTGCCACTCCGGAAGTTTCCTCGTTACGCGTCCCTCCAATGCGACCTACATTGAGGAGGAATCCCGTTGAACGAGGAGTGAAGGCGGAGCGAGGCTCGGTCGTACGCGAGAATCTTCATGAAGAAGATCTGCTGAGATATACCCGACGCTACGGGCTGGTGGGCAATTTCGGAGAGATCCAGGATGTCCGAGAAGGATCCTTCTCCTATCCAATGAGAGTCCGGGGCTCAAACCTTCGATCTGAGAAGAAATAGAGCATGATTCCAGAACTCAGGAGCAATATCCGGGGAGGGTCGACTCGAAATCCTCACCGATAAGCCCCAGCCCCCTGTTGGAAGCTATCTTTTTGCGGGCATTCGGTCGAGAATTTTCTCGGCCGAGTTACCAGCTAGATGTTAAGAACGATCAGCAGAGGTTGAGCTACCGGAAGCGATTCCTGACGTGCGTCAAAACTCGCGTGCTCGGATGGACCATATCGTTTTCAGCGATCTCATCGCACCAGCCGCGTGTCTATGAAACGTGACCTCACGGGGGACTTCGAGCCTCTCCGATTTGAGAAACTAATCCACGAACAGATCTAAATCAGATTTTCGATTGCCGTTCCTCTAGGTCTTCGGAACGATTGCTGCCCAGAACTTGTCTCAAAGAAATGTACGAATCCCGGACTCAGCACCGAGTCAGCAGAGGGCACGACAAGTTGTAGCTCTCACAATTCTTTCGATAACTACACATGGGCTGCATCTGCTGCCTCCTAGGAGAGGGAAGGTGGACAGGTAATGGTGGGTCGGAGTCCGGACTATCATCCTTCAATCTATCGCATTCGTGCACAACGGAGGAGCACAATGCAGCAGGATCCCGTTCACGCCAGAATCACCATCACGAGAAGCCTTCCCCTTCGGGAGGGTATTTTTTCCTTTCTAACGTTTCTGGAGTAAATTTGAGTTACCTAGATTGAAAATTGAAATTGGCACCAAATTCTGGGAAGCCTGTCATTTTCCGCACGATGGCCGTGTATTCATCCGGTTGACATATCGGGTCATGCGGTGACGGAAACCTTCATCTGGATGCAGTCCGTGGTTGCGTGATTGTCTTGCTCCAATCGCTATAGAACACTATCGCTTAACGAAGGTTAACCAGAATTCACAATTCGCAATTCGCTCTTCGCCATGGAATGGAGCGGGCTATCACTATTCGGACGGTTCACGCAGAATACGTCATCGGGTGTCGGATCGACGAGATTGTCGATCGAGGATATTCTGATGCCTGATCAGAGTTGGGCGATTGTGATTTGAAATTGACATACATAAAGCTCCAACTGACGCTCATAGCCTTCGGGAAAATGAGCGGTCGATAGAAGCGACTATGGTTGATTCTCTCCGCCGCTCGATGTGGGATTCATGGATCCCGTCTGAAAACGCTCCGAACTATCTGGGACGTCGAGCTCTCGGAGGATATTTCGCGAAAGAATCGGATAATTTTTGCCTCGTCGCGGCTGTAAAGATAGCATCGTCAGAAATGAAATTCTGATCCTTCCGACGCCGATCGGGTCTTCCCCATGGTTAGAAGAAAAGCTTTTGACATCATGCGGCGGCGAACCTCGCAACGAAATTTCAGAACCAGATGAATGAAGGGTTCGAACGCCGCGTGAAGTTTCGCGAAGCCAAGGCTCTTGAAATTTGAAGACCGATGAAGATTCAGAAGGGTCGATAAATCTGGCGGGCTTGAATAATATCCGAAATGAATGTTCTCCGAGCCAGAGTAGGTCCAGAGCGGAAACCTATCGAAGACGCAGCCGTCCGAGTCCAAATAGAAGTAGCGGGCCGTCGAAGGCTCTGCCATGGAAGGTCATATTTGATCGAAAAAAATTGGCGAGATTCCTGCCCACGCACGGTCAATTCGGGATCGACTCAGACTGCGTCCGCGCTTGCTCGAATCGTGCCGTGCACTCGCATACGTCGGGGAGGAATCAGTGTGACCCCCGGAGGAACGACCATCAGAAACGAGAAATTCATGGTTTCCACTCGTGATATCGCCAAGACTTTCATCTCCGATTTCGCATGCATCGTAGACGCGTGTGCCATTGACAAAAAAAGATATTCGAAAAACTCCGAATCGAGCCTTGGAACATGCTCTCCAGCCAGTTCCATCCGATACCACGAGAAGAACGATCGAAGGCTCTCGCAAAACTCTTCCGTATGATAATCACCAGAAGATCTGTTGCCGATTATCCGCAGGATTTCGGTGGCATCCGGCTGGAATCTGTAGTGAGAGCTGATGCGGCTCCGAACGGATGTTGAATACCTGTACTAACCTCATATTTGGCATTGGGGTAGTCGGGCTTCGGACTGAGGAATTCCTCGTTGACGAGGTTAATCCCCTTCCGAGACGAACCTCACGTTGCTCCTGGGGACCGTGCGTCACTATCCTTGGCCGAGAATCACTTTCCGTGAGTCAGTTTCCGACGAGTAATTATATATCCGAGCCTTTCCTCAGGCGGGAGGACTGTGTTCATTTCGACATCACGGAATGCTGCAACCACTACCTGACGAAGTTCGAGTCTATTTCCAAGAATTTCCACCGGGATAGAATCGACGAATCTCCATAAGATTATTCCGCGTGGCCCAGCGACTACTGGGTATTTCCATAAGATAGCAAAACACAGAACTGCTAAGCTGAGCTCCGGGGGGACACAATTTTCGGCGGAACAAGGCAGCGAAAGATAATGTCGGCGGATTCCGGTGATTCTCTGGGGAAAATTTCCGACTATTCCATCGCGAACCTACAGATCTCTTCGCGAGCTGTGAACGCCTCCATGGAAGAAGACCGAGCTTGCGGAGCGGAATTCGTTTCGTCTCTTTGAAGGATCGTTTCCATTCTACCCAGGATATCCCGGCCGAGTGCGAGATGGTCTGCGGGGGATGAACGTCTATTGTGAAGGGGACTTGTTGATTTCTCTACGCTTTGAGTCGAGCTCCAGGTTTACATCTTCGGCAACAAATGCCAAAGTCGGATTTCCGAACATCTCATATTTCGGATCGCTTGGAACAAGATTGTCGGTCAGAGGAGAGCGAACCTTTATAGACTTCTGAGACCTTTCAGGGAGACACTGAGATGACGGGGTAGGACGTTCAGAAAAGAGAAACTCGAGGAAATTATAGTTTCCGATAAAGGGAAACAGGTCTCGATAGCACATACATCTGAATCCGATCAACGATGCGACATTCCATGCAAGCGAGAACTGACAGTTACCTTCCACGACGCATTTTAGGATACATGAAACTCTGGAAATCTCGACCTCAGCGGTGCTTGGTCGGATCGACACCCTACGGGACATATATACGAAGCTAGAGCTGGGAATTGCCGAACGATCCGATCTTGACTCACATGGACCCTCGATGCTCTTCTTCGAAGGTCTCGCTGACTCGTACGTGTGTCGATGCGCTGGGATTACACGTCGAGCGTTCCTCAGGGAGTTTATGCCTGGGCATTATATTGAGTGTTCGCAATCTGCCTCGAGTAAGAGACGTCTTCGTGTCGGTACGGATGCCTATCGCCAGCTCTTGAAGGTAAATATTCGTCGAATGTAGAAATATCCTATCTTGGATGCGACAAGATGGCACGATCCAATACAGAAGTGCTCTTCAATAAACGGAGCTTCAGGATCTCGGTTCTTCTCATATGTTGTGAGATTCTGATGAGAGTTGATGAGGAGAGAGAAAACTATTCCGAGAACACCACCATGAGCATTTTTACTTGGGCGATGAGGGTTCCCCGATGGCTCAAAGCGAGCCAACCCTTAGCCATAAGGATCGAAAGGCTTAGGCTTAGACATGGGACATCGGAGTTCGGGAGACGAGGGCTTATGAACAATTTCTCGGAAACTGCTCGAGGATATCAGACCCTCCGGCCAGCCCCTGTCCCCCGCCCCGCAGGGATCTGCGGAATTCCGCGAGCTCCATTTCCCTTTGCTCCAAAACCGTGCGATACACAACACAGGATATCCAAGCGAAGTTGATGAGCGACTTTGGA